GAAGTTCTGAGTTTTGTCATGCTTCTTAAACACTTAGAAAAATTTCTAGGTATTTTAGAATTTGACTTTTCCAAAGTAAAATCCGACTTTTGAAATTCTTGATGAAACAAACTTCATATTCCAACATGTCTTGATGAAATATGATTTTTGAGATTTGATTTTGATCCAAAAGTCAAAGTTAGATTTCTCAGTATGCAAATGACCATTTTGCCTTTGTGAATGACTTGCTTTGGAAAATTGATAATTCAAGGCCTGGAAACTTGATAGAAGCAAACCTGGGATCCAGGGTGATCCCTTGTGAAATGAGAGGGAAAATTTTGGGGTACAACAGGAGGCATCCCAACATTTATAAATTATAGTTTGTAGTTGAGTTAGTGTGGTGATATTGGATGTTTAACGTGAATATCATATGCATTTTTGAGTTTCTGCACAGACCTACCCGCACTGAGCGCGATTTATGCTTGTTAAGCGCGCTTTGTTTTTCTGCGCATGCTAAGCGCACTTTGTGGGGGCTAAGCGCGCCCTGCAGTTGTGCCATTGGAAATTCTTTTCACTCAGCCCTTTTACCGACTTTCATCAAGGCTCTTAAGAGTAGTAAATAGTAATAGTAATTTATAATAATTTGTGTTTGTTGTCTGTGTTAAAATATTGATCTAACTGTTTGAAGAAGCATGGAGAAATTTGTGCAAGTTTGATTGTTTCAAAATGCAAATGTGTGGTAATGATAGTGTTTGAAGTAGGTACCATGCAAGGTACATGCATGTCATTTATTCTTTTTCCCTAATTGTTCATGATTGAATCACCTTAGATCCAATCCTTTTTGTGAGGAAACTTTCCATTGTATACTATATGTACAGGAGACCAACAATTTTGTTTTAAATTGTTTGACCTATGTATAATCTTTCATTTATGTTGTTTTGTATGAAAGCATTAAAAGGATTAAGGCATTTTGTTTTATTTTTTAGCATAACCACCTAACCAAAAATAATTCACCTTGTGAATGAACGAGCATTTGTTAGCCCCTTTGAGCATTTTTGTAAGAATTCATCTTGGTGTTGAACTATGAACTTGTGCATGAGTAAGTAGTTCATCATAGATTATAATTTTGTTTCTTTGCACTTGACCCTCAATCATGTATTGTGGTTAGAATTGTTCCTTGCCTTATAAAGTTGGGAGCATTCATGTCACCATGTGTGGTTGTATTCAAGTTGGGGAGAGCAATGGTTGATTGCTTATAAGATGGTTGCTAGAGGTTGAAAAATAAAGTGGTTGGAAAAAATGTTAAAAAGAAAAGAAAAAGAAAAGAAAGAGAAAAGAAAAAATGTTGAATAAGATCAAGGTTGTAATTTTGAGTCATGAAAAAAGGTTGTATAACTTTGTATTGCTTGAAAGTGTGGGAAGTGATTTCTCCCATAGGATTAGGCAATTTTGTTTCATTGGCGTTAAAAATGACCCTTCCTTGTTACCTAAGCCGCGTTACAACCCTTGAAATTCCTTGTGATTTATGCTTGTATACTTTCAATATGATTTTGCTTTGATAAATGCCTTAGTTGATCTAGATGTTTGCATGATTGTTGGGTGTGAGTTGTTTCCATCATTCCATTTTTTTCTTCATCTTTTGAAGATGTGTGATAGGTGTGATTCATGATTGAGTTTGTATTATCTTATAATTTTTTACATACATTTTGATTTAGGATTTGTTTCATTTTCATGTTGTCGTTGTAGTAAAGTGGTAAGCATTACTTTGTTTGTGCTTTTTTTTAACCATACATTTGTTTTTGTTTTACAAAACTTTCTGATTCAAAAATCCTTGGATGTTGCTTTTGTTTCTTTAGGTTTGTGTGACCTTTGTTTGAGGTCAAACAAATTTTTAAGTTGAGGAGTGTTATAAGTGCCAAAATATCATTATTTTCAGTAGTATTTTGTGGCACTTATCATTCTATTTTTGTGTATTAATAAGTAAAACCCTAATATTTGTGTAAATAATATTATTATCGTGCTTTCGTGTAAATATTTTATCGATTGATAGTTTTTCATCTTTTTTGTAGGTATTTATTGCATGGTTGGAGCATTGAGTAATAAGAGCCAAAAGCAAAGCTTCAAGATGAAATTTTGATTGAAATAACAAGTCCCAGGTCGGGCTAAGCGCAGTTCTGGCGCGCTCAAGAAACTCTGGATAGAGGTTTTCGCGCTTAGCGCAAGTTAGGTCGGTTTGGTCAATAAGTGGCAGTGTGCTTAGTGCGCTCTGAGCAGGCTAAGCGCGGTCTGTGATTTCCAACCATTATATATTCATTTGTTCATATTTTTTAGGTTATGGTTTTGGGGATGTTTTTCTCCCAACTCCATCTGAAACATTCTTTGATAGAGACACTTAGACAACAACAACGAAGGTTGCATCTTGATTATTCAGAATCGAATTTCTCATCAATCGTCCTGACACCACGAGAGATGTCTGGTTCTTCTTCCTTCTTCTCTTTGTATTCTCTATTTGTTGGAGTTTGTATGTAAGTTTACTCTGATTTTAGGTTTATTTGTTGATCATGATGTTGTATAATATCTATTTTACAAATCAATATCCATGATTACTTGGTTTATGTTGGATTTGAGTTGTTATAGACATATACGATTTACATCCGAATTTAGGATGAACATCTATTAGGTTCTAGACTCTAGATTTAATATTCACAGTGGAGTATCGATTCTTAATGTTACTGTATTGCTTAGTTGCATGAAACATCGTCGACGAGACAATACGGTTGTTCTCCCAACTTTGCGTTAGACATAACCTCTATTATGGTTAACACGTGAGGATATTGACGATTGTTGTAGGTTGCATACAATTGATTGATAGATTTAAGTATTTGATAGGGTAGATGAAATTCATCACTGATGAGTTTTCTCCTCTATAAAGAATGTATTTTTTACTTGTTCATATGTTTACTTTTTGCACCATTTTAAACTATTCAAAACTAAGCTTAGAAACGTAGAGACTATTGAACATCATTCTTTCCCTCGCACTAATCCATGTGGAGACGATAAAACAAAACTAAAAATACTTACTTTTGCTTATAGATTTACCGCAACAACATGTGTGTGTGTGTGTGTGCGCGCGTGTGTGTGTGTTTCCTTTGATTAGATCACCATCATCAAATTTGAAAGTAATTGTCATTGTCGTCATTAAAACTCCAGATGGATTTTCTGCAGAACTTTCAACTTCATACGTGCAAACACATAGATCTATAATATCTATTGCATTTAACCTAATATATCATACCTATAAACTATTTAGGTAATACACGCATGTCAAATAAAAAACGTAAACAAATGAGTAACTAAACAAATGTTTGCTTTGTTTGATAAATGCAACGGAATAGAAATTTTAAAAAAGCTTGAAAAATGTTGAAACAGTGGTATCTTCGCGAGCTCGAGTTTGCTTTGTTTGCTTAAATAAAAAAAGAGAATGGAAAGGGAAAGGTTTTGGTGCGAAAACTTAAATTGAAGTGTTCGAATTTCAATCTCCTTACAATTTCCAATTGGTATCTAGAATTTTTTTAAATGTGTGTCGCGTGATTCTGAGATTAGACATAGGAGTGGTGTGTAGAGGCGCGTCAGAATTTTAAGCTTTGTAACTTACTAATTCGAATTCCAAAATTCAAATTATTTTTAGAGTTTAAAAATAGTGTATTGTCATTGTAACACAATTTTACATGTACAATCAATCAGAATTCTTATATTTGTCATGTTATTTAAGTATTTTAAAAATAAAAATGAGTTTTATTGTGGTGAATGTTTCTCATTGATTAACAATGTAAAAATATTATATATTATCAATGCATTTTATTTTTTCTTTTATTTTTAACACTTATTTTACTGTATTTTAGAAAGAGTTTATTGTATATTTAATACGTCTGAGATTATAAAATTCAAATTCTAAAAATATTTAAAAAATTCCCTGGAATAAGTCATAGAGTATATTAAAAATCCCCAAAAGAAAATGACATTCACATAAATCCCGGCATTTAGATGGCAGTTTCTGTCCTCAAATAAAGTTTCATGTGATTTGCTATAATTAGAAAGGGAAGTATGCCTTCACCTGTTAGATCTTTGAATTATGGCCACATGTTATCATACTTTTTGTTGAATTAGAAAGGGAAGTATATTATTCTCATCATAATAATAGTGTGGTATAAATGTGTTATAAATTAGAAAGGGAAGTATATTATTTCCATCATAATAATAGTGTGTTATAAGGGATCTGGTTAGTCATATAATTAAATTTTAGGCAACTCTTTAGGTAGATGACATTAGTAAAAGTCACAGTACCTGGAAATCAACATGGTTAAAATTGGATAAGTGAGTTTTATACAAAAAAAAAAAAAATAATAACAATAAAATTTGATAGGCGAGTGAGTGCTGATTTACTTTTTTGGTAAATAAACATTATTAGACTATTAAAAGCACGATGAATATGAGTGAATGATCCAGTCATATGCCAACCAAATTTGACATTTAATTTTTTTAGGTCCAACTGTTGGAATGATTAGGATAATGGTGTCATAAAAATACATACAGCAACATCATGATTTATTTTTTAAACTAATCAACATCATGAAGTTAAAATTACTACACATTTTGCTTCAAATGTTGGACAAGCTCATTTAAAACTAGTAAACATTTTCAAGTTAAAACTAAAAAATGAGAGATTGTGAATCTGCTCCATGCATGCAGACTAGAGCTACATCATATTCATGAACATTTGATGTGAAAATGATCTGTAATTGCATTTATATATGGAAATCAACATATTACAACAATTAGGCATATCTTGATGCTATCTACACAGTAAATAATACAACAGGACATAAAAACCAAGCAAATTTTACAAGCAAATAATGATAATTGATAATACAATTTTTAGTAGCATCAAGATAAATGTAACTGTCATCACAATTTAAAACCAGATAATGATACATAGCATTGCTATCTTTCTTATTTTGCTCCTAAAATAACCTCTTTGAAGATTTGGGATCTTTCGAAGTTGAACCCATTCCAGACATACTTCCACTCCTCATCATGCTCGATGAACTGCAGAACATGGTGCAACAGCATGAGAATTGCCGAGAAAAACAGAAAGAGAGGAGAAAACACAGATAACGATGTTTGTTATGAGAAAAACGAATGCCGAAAAATAGTTCTACCAACCGAACAATGAATGATATTATATGGTACCTGGCAGGTCTCTGGATAGAATTTTTATTCATTGCTGCAATGTTTTTTACCTCGCGGCTGCAAGTTTAGAAGAACAAATCAACGAAATTTAAGTAAACGATACATTGAGTTTGAGTATACAATTTCAAGATGTGTGAACAAACAAAGTTCTAGTATGCTTCATAGTAAAGCTATCTCTGAAATATTTGGAAGCATCAAATCAAATAATCATAAAAGAGAAAGGTTACTTACCACTTAAGAAATTCTATCTTTGACTTCTTCATTATGTTGCTCTTCACATTTGACACATTGTATCCAGGTCCATTATCTAAAAAAAACAATTGTCAAAGATGAAGAAACAACTAGCAAATAAAAGCTACAACTTGAGTGAAGTAGAAGGAAACAAACATAAATAAATAAATAAATTACCTCCCCAAAATCTTCTTTTACTTGAAGGTGGAACTTTGGCGCATATCTTTACTTGCCTACTCTGTTTTCCTGCATAGTCCGATAATTCGTAACTATTTTAAACTGAGATCGCAATGATATAGCTACTGATAAGTTGCTACATTGATTTACGGTGTAAAATCTCAGACTCATCAAATCAAACAAGAAATTTATAGTTAATAAGCATTTTTATATACATATTAATTATAAGGAATAAGTAAGTAGCGGAAAGGTAGAGGAAAGGTCATTACTTGCATCTTCTGACTTGTAGCGTTGCCTGATTCGGTCAAGTGCTTCATTCTCTGCCTCGGCCATTTCCTTTACTTTAGCCTATGTATAGATTTAGAAGAGGGTTAGAGAGAAAGAAAAAAAGCACGAAATCAATCACCATGATAGTTCTATAAGTTCTAAAATACAACTGAGTCTGAACAAGAAAAAAGAAAACAAGTACAAAGGAAATACCTCGTACAACTGCAACCATCTGAATGACACTCTTTTAGCTGCCATTCTCTTAATTACTTCTTTTGTGCAATTTGAACCAAACTGCTTCTCGAAGAACTTTTTCCACAACTTATCAGTTACAGGGCTCAAATCCCCCTGCATAATCAAATCCAACAAATTATAGAACTACTTTAGTCTTGTTCTAACTTTTTACTCGTAGTTTAAGAAAACAACAAAAACCCGTCTTACTTCACTGGCCTTCTCGATATGCATCAACTGATCAAGCGTGCAATGCGGCAAAATTTGCTCAAGCAGATGATGATCAACAGGACCAACATTTCCAAGGTATCTTACATTATCTATAGCTTTCTGAACACAAAGATCAACCAATGATGGAACCGATGATTGCTTCTTCCTCACAAACACTGGATCCCGTCTCATCATTTTCACACTGATGATAAAATTCATAAAATAAATAACTCACTAAGAAAAATAACCAAAACAAACACATATATTAATCTTCCAATTTTCTATTTCTCAATAAGCTAAGCTTGAAAAAATTAAGACCATCAATTGATAAACTATAAAAAATGGACCCAGAAACATAACACCAACACCAACACCGACACGTCAACTTCAGTAATCATTTTTAAAAAATGAATAAATTAAACGTAATCACGTGTGTAAGTGGTGGTTGTTAGACACGACACTGAGACCAACCCTGACACGGGCACATCTTTTTTCAGAGGATCAAGTGTAAGTGAATTTCAATAATTTTAATAATTCAGAACATTAATTAATAATAGAAGATCAATAAGTTTCTTCTGATTACAAAAATTTATGCTATTTTTCAGAAAATATATAACAGAAACATAAATATTTCTCACCAATAATTAAAACTAAAATCTATCAAATGGATCATCTTCAAAACCAAAACAATCAAAATTCAATAAAATAAATTGAAATTAAAGGATCAAAAGATCAATGATATCATTCAAATGATGAAAACAGGAGCTGAATTGAATTGAAAACAGTAACAATGGATTTTGGAAGTGCTTACGGATTCCGTCAAAGGAAATTGGATCGGGAACAAGGGACGGCGACGGTGGTGAATCGGAGAGGAGATAGATATAGAGTCTGTGTGTGTGTTTTTCTATGGTTGCAAGAGAAGAACGATGGAGCGCGTGAGATCACGCGCTTTGTTCTTTTTTATGAAGACAATGCTAACGTGCGCCTTGAGGTGTTCGTGAGATGTAACAAGGGCTTGGAACCGATGTTCGAATAAATAAACACGCTGGCAAATTTTTAACTACTAGATCGCACGCTGATAAAGATTTTATAAAATATTTTAAAGATTTTTCTTCTTTATTTTTACAACAAAGTAATTATATTTTGAATATTAAATTTTTTGAATTTTAAAGTTTTCTTTTTGGTCTAGAATTTTTCTTACTTTTTATTTAATTTTTTTTTATAAATTTAATTATTATGCATTATTATTAACACATTATAATAATTACTATGTGATTAAAATATAAGTTTAACACATTATAATGGTTACTATGTGATTAAAATATAAGTTTAATCAAAATGTGAGAGGGGATTTGGACTAAGTGAAGTTTTTTTATTTAAAATAATAATATATAGAAGAAATAAAATATTATAAAGTGGTGAGGAGAGACTATAATGAAACTCTTTCTTGAAGAAATAAATTTAAAGAAAAGCAAATCAACATTCTTTATAAAATCTGGCTTTAAAAATAAAGGGATTTAAGTCAAATGAGTAGAGTCAGTAAAAATTTAAAGAATAAATTAAAAAAAAAAAAAAAGGCAAATCAAGTATATTCTTTGTAAAAATCAAGTTGCCTATTCTTTATGAATTTGAATTCTCACCGGGTTTGATTAATTTCAAAATCCTCTTATTTTTGTTTAAATAAGTATTTTTAATAATTTTTTAGTCATGTTGTGGATGAAAATCTGGGGCATTACAGATTCTTTGTTATCTTTTGCAGGTTTAGTGGAGTTGGTTAAGTTCACCATCAAAACATGCTAACTCATAGCATATCCATTTATGCATGGTCAATCTCTCTTGTTCGAGAACTTGAGCGTGCGGTGAAAAGATTCATCTGGAGTGGGGAGACAATAAAAAATAAGATGGTAATAGTGGCGTGAAAAACATTTGTAAACCTTTAGAGGAAGGTGGCCTTGGGATTAGATCGATCATTACGATAAATGAAGCTTCAAATTTGAAGCTTTTCTGGGATCTTTAAAATTCTCCTAAAACTTGGGCTTCTCTTCTCAGGCAAAAAGTTCTTACAAAAAATAAATTCATCAATCACTATAATTTCTCTTCCATTTGGACGTGTGTTAAGCATAGGATGACTTATATTATTGAAAGCTCTTCTTGGTGTCTCGGCAATAGAAGTTCCATCACCTTTGGTTCGATAACTGGTGTGGTTCTCCGATATCTCACGACATTAAGGATTTGAATTCTGTAACACTCCACTTTCCTTAATAATACTTTATAGTATAATCTACAGAATATATATCAGAGTACACAAGTAGGATGTCACATATTTCAAAATTCATAAAGTCTCAAGTCACTTTATTACTTTATTTATTCAAAATAATCGATTCGGCAGTGGAATAATCAAATTAATTTATTTCCATGGCATTGAAGCCTCAATAGTAATAAAAACTCCACAACATGCGGACCAATATAAGTATAAAAGTAAGATACGTAACAAATGAAATAATGCAAAAACATAACAAATTCCCAATCATCACGTGTTATGTATCAAAGCGGCTCCTAAGACTCGATCAGGTAACACTCTCTCCAAGCACTACTCAGATGCCTGGTTATTTGTACTCCCCGAGGAGCACAGACACAACAATACAAAAGGGGTGAGAATTATATTCAATAAATATATGGTGAATATCACATGCTAAAGAGTAGTAATTCACACATCATACAATACTTCACAACACAATCCATCATTCACATAATACATCATCAACTCAAAAATAATGCAACGCAATGAGACTGATGTCAACTCAATGCATATGGTACCATCAAGGTATAAGCCCATAACATAGTGCCAATTAGGCAACAACAGGGTCCAAGCCCTCAATATAACATCATTGCAGGTCAACACCAGGGCATGAGCCCTCACCAATAAAATATATGCATTATCAACATGCAACAACGTAACTATATGACAACAAGGCATAAACCTTCTACATTGCCAATAAAGCCGCCACATCATTATCATCATGAATATAAATAAGAAATTGATACAAATTCTCATGGTTTAATCCCAATTTCCATTACTACTACTCTCCCTATATTTACCTAATTTATACTAGTCATTAAGAATCAAGAGAAACTGCATTGCACACGAAAATGGGAAAGAAATCGCGAAAGTGGGAATTTATACACCTCAGCCTGCCCATACACGTATGACTCTGTCCCATACGCCTATGGCTCCTTTCTTCTCCCATCCATACGCGTTATGCTACAGCTCTCAGGGCTCATACATGTACCATACACGTAGGACCAGGGGCGTTTTTTTCCCTTCAAACTCCTCCCAAACTTCCCATACGCGTATGACCATCACATACGCGTTTGGCCTCCCCCTTCATATGTGTATCATATGCGTACCGACAGAAGACCATGTTGGCGCTGGGGATAGGGCGCGTTCCATACGTAGATGGCCCCTGGGAATGCCCCCATATGCGTACCATACGAGTATGGCCAGTTTTCTACATAAAAAATTATGCTATCACACCAGAATGATTTCCATTCATTTTGAGCACTTCCAACCTCCTAATTTGGGTAAAAAACAATGTTTTTATACATAATAATTCATAGGCTTCATCTAATTTCGTTATTCTATAATTCTACAGCAATTTCTACCTCTAATTCTCCAATTTTCATCATATTCCTAGATCTACAATTTTCCAGATTTGGGATTTCATGGACAATACAACAACAGTAAAATCAGCAACAACAACACATTCATGGCATCATGGGATTCACGAATTTCACATACAACCATATAGAAACAACAAAAAATCAAATATAGAAGAACATTCATCAAATGTCCATGCAACCTAAAGAGGGAAAGGAACCCTCGCTACTCTCTCATGCTATAATCACCTTTTAGAGAAGTCATTCACCCCTCCTTACCTTAGTTTAAAACTTTGATTCTTCAACAATGGATGAATCTCTCTTGCCCTAGTTTTTCCCTTCTCTTCTCTTCTCTGTTTCTACGTGACAACAATTTTTCCGATTGTTCTAACTCTCTCCTAATTATATTTTACTATTACTATTACTAACTAATAATAACATTAATAATAAATATAATAATAATAATATTAATATTAGTGGTAACTACACCATACACCTAATAATAATATTTTTATTAATAATAATAGTGTTTCTCTCAATATCCAACATAACCAATATTTTACCAAAAACTAAGTTTCACCCTAATAATACCAAGATAATTCAAATTCAACAAATAATTTCTAAATATTTAAATGGGGCGTTACAACTCTTCCCCACTTAGAATATTTTCTTCCTCGAAAATTACCTAATACGAACAATTCTGGATAAGACTCTCGCATCTTGCTTTCTTATTCCTATGTCATACTTTTCCGAATGCTTCTCCCCAAACTACTTTTACTAGAGGAATTTCCTTGCTCCTCAACTTCTTCATTTCACGGGCTTCGATTCTCACTGGCAAGTTCTCTACTGTAAGGTTATCCCTTACTTGCACGTCATCCATCGGAATTACATGAGACAAATCCGGAATATACTTCTAAAGTTGTGACACATGGAACGCATCATGCAAATTCGAAAGGTTAGGTGGTAAGGCCATCCTATAAGCAGTAGTTCCCACTTTATCCGAAATATGATATGGGCCAATAAATCGAGGAGTAAGTTTTTTCGATTTCAATGCTCGCCCAACACCGGTCACTGGTGTGATTCTCAAAAATACATGATCTCCCTCTTCAAATTCAAGATCCTTTCTCCACTTTTCATGGTAACTCTTATGTCTACTCTACGAAGTTTTCATCTTTTCCCGAATTAGCTTCACTTTTTTGTCGTAAGTTGAACAATTTATGGCCCAAGCACCATGCTTTCACCAAATTCATACCAACACAACAAAGTCCTACACCTCTGGCCATACAATACTTCAAACGGCGCCATCCCAATGCTAGAATGGTAACTATTATTATAAGTAAAATCTATCAACGGAACATAACTATCCCACGCACCTCCTTGTTCAAGAACATAAGCCCTCAATAAATCTTCGAAGGACTAAATAGTTCTCTGTGTCTGTCTATCTGTCTGTGGGTGGTACGCCAAGCTCAATCTCAGCATATAACCCAATGCATTTTGTAAACTCTCCCAAAATCCAAAAAGTGAACCTTGGATCTCTA